TTTAAAATACATACAATTATAAAATAAATAGATATCAAATAAAACTAAAAAAAAAAATAGTTTTTGAATATTTTTTTTATTTCTTTAAATTTGATTTAATACTCCATATATTTGATCTTTAAAAAATAAATTATTATTAAGCAGTCATTTAAATTATAAATTTTAAAATAATAAAAGTTAAATTACGAGTCTAACCTCTCACTTTTAGGTCTAATTAACTATTAATTTTTTTAAAATTAAAATTTTAATTTAACTATTCACTTCTTTTTCTTTTTCTTTTTAGTATAGATTGCAATGGTAAAGGGGTGATCCGTGAATGTCTTGACTTTGGTTGGATAAAGTGTCGTACGTGGCACGTGCATATGAGCAACGATGTGCATGTGATATTCCATTGTTTTTTTGTGTAATAAATAACCTTTTTTTATGTTCTATAAAAATATCATCCATAAATTGTATAATTTAGCTTTAAATGCCTATTGCTATCGTTAATTTTTTTTTTTTGTCATATTTGGATCTTTTATATATATATATATATATATACACATACATATTTAAATATTAAATAAATTAACTTAAAATTTAATTATACTTTTTTAATAATGAAGTATTTTGACTGGTGTTGATAATTTGCATGCATGTAATACTGTGTAGTATATAGTGTCGATCAAGGTTAACTTGAGTGTTCAAGCTCAAGCATAAGAGATTTAGGTTGTCTTAGCATACGAGCGATATCCATGTTTAATGAGTCAAGTTAGCTAGAGAAAAGTGTTGGCCCGTTTATTTATAACTAATTAATTATGTGCTCCATTATTCACCTATAGTTGTACCAACAAAAACATGTCTGGCTAAAGTCTATTTAAAGGTATCAAAAGTTAACTTGTGGTGGAAGGACAGAGAAATTATCAAATTAGCATAGATTTTATTAACAGCATATGATTTCAGTATATATTAAACCATCCATAATTAAAGTGTGATAAATGATTTTCGTCCATATATGAAAATTTTTTTAATTTTTTTTAAAGTATATAATGTTAATGTTATTTTTGTATTTTTTTTTAAAGAAAAATAAGAAAATGAAAGTATTTGAGTTTAATGAGTGAGAACTCATCAACTCGGGGAGAATAACTCACCGCTAGCTCACAGCCACATGTATGATCCGAGAAATATTAAAGGTCACGGATTTTCCTTTTTTTTTTTATTAAAAAAAAACAATTTTAGCATAAAAGAAACAGACACATACTATCTTTCTTTTTTATTTTTTTATTTTTTTTCACGTGCATTACAGAGTGTTGAAAATAATAATAATAATAATCTCCGGAGCTAGATTAATATAATAAAGTGCCAACCTTTTATTTATTTTTATTTTTATTTTTATCTCCTGAAAGAATAACACATTAAAATCATAATTAAATTTAATCCATAATTTTATTATTAGTTTTTTTTTAATATATTACATCATATATATTAAACGAAACATTAAAAAAAGGTCAGGGTATTGTGTTTCCACGTGAAAGACAAATAAAATAAGAATAATTAGAATAAATTCCTCTCAATTTCCCTTTTTACCCCTCATGCAATTCGAATCCAAATGCCCTTACTCGGAATCTTCCCGTGAACCACAAACAAAAGGTAATACCCAGATGGAGCAATGTTACCCGACCCGGGAATGCTGACGTGGATATCCCACGTGGTATTTCCCACTTTCGTCACATTCTCGCCGCCGATCACTAGCAGTCTCTGACTCATGGAGAATGAATGTGTATTGAAGGGTGGTGCCACCATCGTCACCTCCACCGTATCGGAAGTTACACCGCCACCGGTGAGTTTAAACCGAACCACCAACTGCTGTGCGTGTCTAACTTTGGTTTGAGATGACGGTGATAATATTATTGGTCGCAGATTTTCAAATTTTGGATCCAAATACGGCGGCGAAAACGCTTCCAGTCTCAGCTCCGTCGGGAACGGCACGCCGGTGAAGTTGTAATATACATTCGGATTGCTCCCGCCGACCAATATGCGACCGTCACCGAGGAGCACCGCCGTGGAGTGATAAAGACGGGGGATGGTGCTCGGGTTCAACAACCGGAATCTCAAACCGGGTGGGTCACTGGGTCGGTACACAACCGGGTTTAAAACTGGGTCCCGAGCGTTATCCCACCCGGCCGTTCCCAACCCCGCGCCATTAATGATCAAAACGTCGCCGTTTGGAAGTAAAATCATGTCCCCCATTACTCTACCCACCGGCATTGTTTCAATGACCCACTCGGGTTTCGGGTCGGTTATTGTGGTTCTAGCGCAGGTATTTAAAGCTTTGACAAAGGTCCGATTCTGAGCTTCATTAAAAGACCCTTTCGGAGCTCCACCGCAGACCAAGACCTCTGCTCCAATCGTCGCCGCCTGTAAATTCCTCAACGGAAGCAGCACCGCCGAGCCAGTGCTCGGATAACACCGCGGATCTCCGCCAGGAATGGCCGGAAAAGTCTTCAGCACCTTATTCCTCGCGTAATCGAACAGAATCGACCGATTGTTCGCAAATATAAACAAACTTCCGTCGATGTTCAGAAACACAAACGGATACAAATTGTTCTCGATCAACCGATCGTTCGTCTCTACCAAGAATGGTAAGCTATACGCCTTGGAAGCTCCGCCGGTTTTCGGAAAAAATTCGTAGTTGAACTGCCGCCGTCCGCCGATTACAATCTGCCGTCCATCTGGCAGAATGTGGTTCGTCGGATACCATCGACGAACACTTAGGGCAAACGGAATCTCCTCCCAATCGGAGCCATTAGGATACGGCTTGAAGATTCTAACTCTCCGATCACCGTCGTTAAATCCGCCGGTCTGAACGAGAGTTCCATCGCTCATGGCGGCACCGGCAGAGCACCATACATCGGTCTGAACCATGAGTGGCCGGAACGAGTTTGAAGCGACGTCGTATTCCAGTGAATGAGCAGTACAATCGACTTGCAGAGCCGTATCGTTCGGATCCATTCGGCATTTTCCATCCGGCAAGCTCAAATTGGAGGTGCCGAAGTCGGTTCTGTCGTAGATGACGACTCTGTCATTGTGAAGTAACTGCATGTGCATTGGCAGAACTCCGATGTCGTTCTGCAGAAGCTGCCACTGGCCGCCGCCGTCATCGGCGGTTGACGACGACAGCAAAGTGAGGACGAGAATTTGGAGAATCATAGTTGCAGAGAAGTAAGTAGCTCGAATTGCTCTGTTTTTTCAAAATCCGCCATTAACGAGAAAGATAAGTAATCCAACCCCCTGCCACTGGTTTTCAGTGGCCGATCAAAATGACGATTTTAGGTCCATTTCTGAACGAAAATTATGACTTCTCAACGTATCCCAGAAGGTCAGTATAGACATTTGATTGGAAAATAGAATTTCTGTCCAATATTGTTTCTTAAATAAAACCCATTAAATAAAGCGTGTCTTTTCTTCTTATTCTTTTTTCTTTTTTAATATTTATATTGTAAATAACGAGTTAAATTATAAATATTATTCTTCAAACTTTGAAGACTTCGTGTATACTTGGGATTTGAAAATTTTAAATTATAAATTTGTTCTAAACATTCAAATTTTTAAAATTCGCTTTTTAAAGCTTAAATTAATATTTAATCTAAATAATTTTATATTTTTCATTTAAAACATATATAAAGTCGATAATTTTATCTCCCACTTCAAATTAATATATATATATATTATTATACCAATTTTGTGAAATTAATTATGCAATTAGTCGGTGGATTTGGTGGATTTGTTAGGTGGGTTAAATTAAAGGGAACGAAAAGAATATAGTATTTATTAAGAAATATGTGTGAAATTTAGTTTCTAAAAATGATTACTATCCTCGTCCCCATCAAACTTCTTGCTCAATTATGTTATTTAATTGTATTTAAGAAAAAAATTAAATGCCATATATGTTTCGCCAATTTAATGATGAATACTAAAAATAAGTATGATTCAAATTCTCCGATTTAATTAAACCTTTTTTTAAGGTTAATGACTAAATAGGCCATACTCAAAGTACATGATATTAAATATTTCTTAAAATATATATTAATTTTTGTGCAATAAAATTTATTTTTTAATTTAGAGAAAACTTTTATATTAAAGCAAAAAGGATATTCCAAGTTCACCGTTAATATATATTTCGCTTGTTGCTCGTTACGTATTTCTATCTCCGCTCTTATAAGACCCGTTATATGTTACATATCGTCATCAGTCTCACGGTTTTAAAACGTGTATGTTAGGAAGAGGTTTTTCCGCTCCCTATAAGGAATATTTCGTTTCCTTCTCAAATCCGACATGAAATCTCAAAATCCACCCTTTTTGCCCAGTATCCTTGCTGGCACATCACTTGGTGGCTAACTCTAACACAATTTGTAACAACCTAAGCCCATTGCTAGTAGACATTGTCTGCTTTAGCCTGTTACGTATTACCGTCAACCTTGCAGTTTTAAAAACGCGTATGTTAAGGAGAGATCTTCTATTATATAAATAATGTTTCATTCAATTCTCCAATCAACGTGGAATCTCACATAGAATAATTCATTACATATCGTTTGAACTTAGACATAAGTTGGAATATGAAATGAGTGCGGCAGTATCATATAACAACGTGACGAAACTTATTGTTACGGGAAATTTTTAACATTTTGTTTAAAAAATAATATAAAACTTTTGTATGTATATATTAAAGTTATTTTTAAAAACTCTATAAAATTTAATTAATACTAAAACCTGAACTAGTTGGTTCGACTCTATTCACCCCTAATAAAAGTAATACCTAATTACGGTAAAAAAGTAAATTTTCACCGCGAAGAAAAAGAGGAATTTCGGTCCGGAAAAAAAAAAAACTCGCCGAGTGGTCCGTAGCGTTTCATAAGGTCCCCTCGTCCCACTCCTTTCTTTCACCGCACCTGTCGTTTCGATCCCAAAATTGTCGTTTTGGGCTTATTTATTTATAATATTATAATTAATTAATTATTTCTTATTTTTTCTCCCCTACCACAGACTTTTTTGCCCCCATCCCGCTGACGGCGCACTTCTCAGAGCCGACCGTCACTCATACCACCGGTCAGGCTAACGTGCACTCACTCTCTTCTTCTTCTTCTCACGAATTCTTGAATGCCGCGAAATACAAGCTTTTTCAAGGTCTGCTGCTTTTCCTCCATCAATTTTGTGTTTCTTTTCGCTTCTTCTCAGGCATGCTGTTACAAACCCTAGATGCGTGTTTTCTTACATCTCTTATCGCATTGTTCTTTTGTTATTTTGGTATTGGTCGAGTTAGGAAGGAACTCTTTCCGATATTCGCGGTATAATTAGCTAATCGGTTGAAGTTCTTTACTGGATTTCTGAGTTTTAGATACTTGATGTTTGGGAGGTGGAAAGCAATGGGATGTGTTTCAGATTATTGCTTGATTGCTTGTTTTATCAAGCTGGGTTAGGGTTACACCATCGAGATTTGCTGGTTATTTATTGAATGTGGGGTTGAGAAGATGGACGGAGACAACAAGAAGTCTGGTTTTAGGAAAAGAACGAAGCCAAAGGAGGGTGGTTTTGATTCAGACGATGATGAACCCATTGGATCTCTTCTGAAGTTGAAGAGATCACGCAACTCTAAGAAGAGTAAGTTGGGTGTAGACGATGGTGGTGAAAGGGACAAGATAGTTGACAAGAAAGGAGCAAAACATCCAGAGCAAGAGGATATTGGGGGAATGGACGACACTTTAGCCAGTTTCAGAAAAAAGTTGAGGCGTCCTAAAGAGGTTGGACCCAGAATTGCTAGGAAACAGAGTTCTTCTGTAAGTGTGGCAGAATCTTTGGGTAATGCATCCAGAGGACAAGGGGATTTAGACGCAAGATTTAGACCAGAAAAGGGTGAATTAATGGACCGTGAAGAGTTTGATTCATCTGCAATGATTGATGTAGAAACGAGGTGTGAAGCACCTGTTTTGGAATTAAAAGACATGGAGACGGGTATCTCGAGTCGGAGAAGGGCTAAGTTGGATGATTCACTGTCAGCATTTGTCCAAAAGGTTCAATCTGGTTCAACTAGGAAAACATTCATATCTACAACATTTAAACCGGATTGCAAGGACGAGACTTCAGAAGATAAATTGAGTCCTTTTTCTAGAACTGGGGATCATGAAACATACTCCATAGTGAGTTCTGATTCTTCTGCTAAGCTGGCACAAGTTGTAGAAAAAACAGATTCTGATCTTACTATGTCATGTTTAATTTCCTGTTCACGGTGCACTGGAGAGAATTGTAATCCTAATCCCGATCAAGGACAATGCCACCAAGGGGTCGAAGGTGACCAAGAAGAGTATCAACGTCGTCTCAATAATCAAGATAGCAAAAACTATAGTCAATTTAGGGACAATTTCCAGGGGCTGGAAAGAAAGGCATCATGTGAAATCAAGAATGCATTAAAACTTTGTTCTTGTGGCGAAACAATGGAGCGTAGCCATTTGGCAGAAAGGGTTTCTCTTCAGGATGGGCGAGGTGAAAATCATCTTAATGAAAATATGTGCAGTTCTTTTCGCCCTCTAGAACAGTCAAAAGAAAACCATGGCCTTTGTGGGGGTGTTTCCAGCGGATATTTTTGTGATGTGGTGGCCCAAGAGACCACAGTTACTTTGTCTAAAAAAACTTTAGGTGTAGATTGTGAAGGAAAAAATAGATTACTTGTTATGCATCATGATGAATTGCCTACCTCTACCAACTTCTGTGAAAGTTCTTCCAAAGAAATCTGTAGATCTACTCAAAATTTAAAGATTTCTGATCAATCATTAGACAGAACAACACTCTCCAATCTTCAGATATCCGCAGCTTTCGATTCAACGGAAGTGGATAAAACTTGCTGTGACTCCGAAAATTTAAATACTGGAACTGATGTGCCAAATTCCAAAGGTGGTTCTAGGCAGAAGGAAAATGCTCTGATCTCTCGGAGGATTTCAGATTCAACTGCTGTTCAATGTTCCAGATCCCAAAAATCTGTGGCAGCTACATCCGTACCAAATTATCCAGAAGTTTGTCCTATTGGAAATTTCAGCATGATATCAGATAATCAACTGGTCAAGGCTTCCGTAGTGATAGATGGTCCAAATAATATACTTCCTGGTAAGGACGTTAAGGTATCTTCTCCTGGGTCTTTGACTCCAGAAGATAATGACCTTGAGGATGTAGTATCTGCTCCTGGTAGTGAAAAAGATTTAAAGCTTTCAGCTTTACAACGTGTAGCGCGCAAGACAAAGAAGCCCAGACATGATGACATGGCTTACGAAGGAGATATTGATTGGGAGATTTTGATTAGTGAGCGTGTAGTTGATGGTGACCATTCTTTTAGATCAAGAAGGGATTCTACATCAACAACTTTTACTGAAGCTGAAACTGGTGGTAGAGCTGCAGTATCTGCAGGGCTGAAGGCTCATGCAGTTAATCTACTTGAGAAGATTAAATTTAAGGATGTGCTAAAGCGCAAAGGTGGGCTTCAAGAGTACTTGGCATGCAGGTATTTGTTACTTAATCCTTTATCTTATTAGATGCCGTCTTGCATGTCACTTTATTTTGGATAGATTGCATTTCTCCATGCCTTGATTTATGTCACTTTATTGGTTTTTATGCCTTTTCTTTATGCCCTTCTCCATCATGGAGTGTGCAACTACGGAATTATATTCAGCATCAGATACCATGCATGTTGTCTAATGATACATGCATGCATGCATGCATGCATACATACATACATACATACATACATACAGTTTTTTATTTTATTTTATTTTGGTACTACATCTATGGTTAGTTGCTGGATGATGTTCTGAGTCCTATTAACTTCAACGATTAATCAAAACTTTGAAGCTTCTTTGTGATTCTTTTATATTCAAGTTGATGCCAGTTTTGGTTTGGCGATTTTTATAAAAAGGAAATATTTTGAACAATTGTACTGTTTTCTGCTGTATCATGAAGATTGTTATTATTTGTATATTATACCCGTGAGCCTTGCATGGAGAAGTACTATACTCTCGGCTAAATTATACTGTAAACTATGGGGAGTAAACAGAAGTAATATTACTTTCCAGCTAATGACAAATTATTATAAACCAAGGGGTGCTGAGTTCTCCAAGCATCAATGTCATTGGAAGAATTGTCACTCCCCAAGCAATAATGTTTCATGCTTATTGAATTGATGCTGGAATGGAGCTGAAACAGCGTATATTTAAGTTTAATTGATACTCTTTAATCTATGATTCAATTGTTCAACGATAGTTAAAATATGTCTTCTTGCAGGAATCAGATCCTGGGCCTTTGGAGTAAAGATGTTACACGAATTTTGAATCTTGTTGACTGTGGTGTCACTAATACTCCCTCTATGGATGAACCACCACGTTTCCCCCTTATTAGGGAGATCTATGCATTTCTTAATCTACGTGTAAGTTAGAACAGATTGCAGAGTATTGTCTCGTGTTTTTTATGGACCAGTTAGTTTGTCTTTGATATTCATTTCCGTCAATTAAAAATTTCTTATGTCATTCTACTTTGGAGGCTGTGTTTTCCCCTCAGGTCAGTATTAATTTCTAATGAAATTGACAGGGTTATATAAATGCGGGGATTGCTTCTGAGAAAGTCAAATCAGAATCTGATATTAAGTATGAATATGAGCTGGGAGAAAAGAAAGTTGGAGAGGTTACTGTTGCTTCAGCTGCTGATTCTGAGGAAGGGGTTTGTGTCATTGTTAAAAATTCTGATGCTTCGGACGCAGAGAACAATGCTGCAGCTGGCTGTGAACTACTATTGGAAGACACTGAAGGAAGAGATCTTGTGATTGAAAATAATTTTGAGTTAGCAAAACCAGTGGAACATGAACAAGAATTGGTACAGGACTTGGAGTACGGTACTCTTGATCCTATACCGGTAAAATCTGTAGGTATTGATGTTCCAGGTAAAGCTGCCTCACATTTAACTAACCAGTCAAGAAATGGTTGGCACCAAATCCAGTCCTCCGATGCGTGTGCCGGAGGTGATCAACAACAGCAGAGTAATTCTGAAGTCAGAAAGAAAGTAATTGTTATTGGAGCCGGTCCTGCTGGCTTAACTGCTGCCAAGCACTTGCATCGTCAGGGCTTTACTGTCATTGTACTTGAAGCTAGGAATAGGTTAGGAGGTCGTGTTTATACAGATCGCTCCTCTCTTTCTGTTCCTGTAGATCTTGGTGCAAGTATTATTACAGGAGTAGAGGCTGATGTCGCAACTGAAAGAAGACCCGATCCGTCTTCATTGATTTGCACTCAATTGGGTCTTCAGTTGACTGTATTAAATAGTGACTGTCCACTCTATGATATCATTACATGCAAAAAAGTTCCAGTAGACATGGATGAAGCTTTGGAAGCAGAATATAATAGTCTTCTTGATGACATGGTGTTGCTTGTTGCCCAAAGAGGAGAGCACGCAATGGCCATGTCTCTTGAGGAGGGTTTAGAATATGCCCTTAAGCGACGGCGCATGGCTCGATTGGGAATAGATGCTTGTTCTGAGAAGGAGCTTTTGAGTCCCTTTGAGAGGCGAGTTATGAATTGGCATTTTGCTAACTTGGAGTATGGTTGTGCTGCTATGCTCAAGAAAGTATCTCTTCCTAATTGGAATCAGGACGATCTTTATGGAGGTTTTGGAGGAGCTCATTGTATGATTAAAGGGGGTTATAGCACTGTTGTTGAGTCTCTTGGTGGAGGACTCAATGTTCACCTAAATCATGCTGTGGCTGATATTTCTTACAGCACCAATGACATTGAGTTAAACGAGAATCAGTGTGCAAAGGTAAAAGTTTCCACAACCAATGGCTCTGTGTTCCTAGGAGATGCTGTCCTTATTACCGTGCCTCTTGGGTGCTTGAAAGAAGAAACTATTAAGTTTTCCCCACCATTGCCTGAATGGAAGCGTCTGTCCATCCAGCGCCTTGGATTTGGAGTTCTTAACAAAATAGTTCTTGAATTTCCAGAAGTTTTCTGGGATGACTCTGTGGATTATTTTGGGGCAACTGCAGAGGAAACAAAGTGGAGGGGGCAGTGTTTCATGTTTTGGAATGTAAGAAAAACAGTTGGTGCTCCTGTTCTCATGGCATTAGTGGTTGGTCAGGCGGCTGTGGAGAGGCAATATATGAGCTCTTCTGATAACGTAAGCCATGCATTAATGGTCCTTCGAAAACTTTTTGGAGAAGCTATGGTGCCTGATCCAGTTGCAACTGTAGTGACTGATTGGGGACGAGATCCGTTTAGCTATGGTGCTTACTCTTATGTTGCTGTTGGAGCATCGGGAGAGGATTATGACATTTTAGCGAGGCCTGTTGGAAACTGTTTGTTTTTTGCTGGTGAAGCTACTTGCAAGGAGCATCCTGACACCGTTGGGGGTGCAATGATGAGTGGGCTAAGAGAGGCTGTACGCATGATTGATATATTGAGTTATGGTTATGATTTTACAGCAGAAGTAGAGGCAATGGAAGCTGCTCAGAGGCAGTCTGATTGTGAGAATGATGAAGTTGGAGACATAATTACAAGACTTGATGCTGTTAAGCTTTCTGATGCTCTTTTCAAAAATTCTTTGGATGGATCTAGGATTGTGACCAGAGAAGCTTTACTAAAAGACTTGTTTTTTAGTGCAAAAACAACAGCAGGGAGATTGCATGTGGCAAAAGAGTTGCTGAATATCCCTGTTGAGACGTTAAAGTCTTTTGCAGGGGCTAAAGAAGGCCTTACAGTTCTCAACTCGTGGATATTGGTAATGTCTACACTTATTAGTACAAGCTTTACTACAAAATTCTTTTTTCTCTCATTCATTTACCTCTAAACAGCGTAATCTGTTCATGTCAATAACCTTTAAAGTTTTGGCTTATAATTGATTGTAGGACTCAATGGGGAAGGATGGGACTCAACTTCTTCGGCAGTGTGTTCGTATTCTTGTGCTAGTTTCAACTGATCTACTTGCAGTTCGTTTATCAGGTATATCTACTTGCCTTTTTGAGTGACTTGATATATCTTTCTTTTCTTTTAAACCCTCCTTGACTATGCGTGTTAGAAACCCTACTACTAAAGAATTTTGTATCTAACTGATATAGCTCTGACTTGTCATTCTCTAATGTTCATGTTTAAATGTAAACCCGATTTTGTTTATTTTCAGTATTAATGTTCTATTATTTGCTCGTGCATGCATGCGTGTTGTGTGTGTTTTCCTTTGAAATTGAAATTAATATGGTCGGTGGAGGGAATTTATGATATTTTGCCTTTGCTAACAATTGGTGCAGGCATAGGTAAAACTATCAAAGAAAAGGTATGTGTGCATACAAGCCGTGACATTCGTGCCATTGCAAGTCAGTTGGTTAGCATTTGGCTTGAAGTTTTCCGTAAAGAAAAGGCTGCTAATGGGGGGTTAAAACTCCCAAAGTCAGTTTCTACTGTAGAATCATTGAAGAGGAAATCTAATAAAGATTCTTCTTCTGGAAAACCTCCTTTGCACTCAAACAACTGCGCGCTGGATAGTAGAGGCAATTTGCCAACTTCTGCATCAGCTGCAATTCCCTCAACGTCTGATGTCAATATGAAAAGTGATAATAGTAAATTGAAATTGGAAATGGAAAATTCATCAAAATCAGATATCAGTTCATCAAGGTCAAGGGGTTCATTTGGAAAGCAGGATGCAGAGATGGAAGACAACAACATTGTGATGACAGAAGAAGAGGAGACTGCCTTTGCTGCTGCTGAGGCAGCACGTGCTGCAGCACTTGCAGCTGCGAAGGTTGTCTTTTGATTCTCTGCTTATTTAATGCTTTAGTGACTGGGTTAGTAATGAGTCTTCCTTGGTGCGAACTTATGACAACAGTTTGTCTTTATGGGCTTGGTTACTTCAACTCATAATATTAAGGGGATGTGCCATCATTAATCATTGCCATGTTATATAATCTTTACTTGGGTGAAATTTTATAATACGTTGGTATGAATATGGACTAAATGCACCAGCACTAGGTCATAGCTTGTATGATAACGTTTGGTTGTGATCATAGCATATGTTAGTTTCTATTTCATCAGTGGGAGAAATTTTTGTGTTAGTTTCTGGGAATGGTGTAACTTTTGTACTTTTTCTATGGATGGAATATAACTTTTAATTGATCCCAAAAAGTGACAAGCTTATGTTATATAGGATCTAGAAACTGTATTTAGATAGCTTTGTCATATCAGTGGCTTCCATTGAATTTGTTGACTAGTTTATAGGAGATTTGTGAATTCCCGATTGCATGTTTTGTCTACTTTAAATTTACTTGATGATTTTCACACCACAGGCATATGCATCTTCTGAAGCCAAGAGTGCGATGCAGCTCCCAAAAATCCCCTCCTTTCACAAATTTGCCAGAAGGGAGCATTATGCTCAAATGGATGAGTACGAGTATAAAAGGAAGTTGTCTGGCAGTGTGCTAGGAAGGCAAGATTGTACTTCAGAAATAGATTCAAGGAATTGCAGGGTCAGGAACTGGTCTGTGGAATTTTCTGCTGCTTGTGTTAATCTTGAAAGTTCACGAATGTCTGCAGATAACCTTTCGCAAAGAAGCCATTCAAATGAGATTGCTAGCCAATTAAACTTCAGGGAACACTCTGGCGAAAGTGTTCCTATGGATAGTAGTATATACACGAAAGCATGGGTCGATACAGCTGGTAGTGATGGAATGAAAGATTATCATGCAATTGAGAGATGGCGGACTCAAGCAGCTGCAGCTCATGTAGATGATGAGGAGGATTCAAACACAAATTGGAACAACCCCACTTGGAATAGTGATCAAGCAGCGAATGAGAGCTCAATATCACAAGTGACGATCAGCAAGGAGCCAATAAGAAACCATCAACATGGGGCTGACAGAATTAAGCAGGCTGTAGTTGATTATGTTGCATCACTCTTGATGCCCCTTTACAAAGCAAGGAAAATTGACAAGGATGGATATAAGTCAATTATGAAGAAAAGTGCAACCAAGGTTAGCAATTCATCTTCGCCAGTACATTCTTCCACCCAAATTTGGTTCCTTTTATTTTCGGTGTGTGGATTTTTTTTTGGGGTGGTGGGAGAGTAAAATGTTCTACATGTTTAACCATGTTTCACTGGAAATCAGGTCATGGAACAAGCCACTGATGCAGAGAAAGGCATGACTGTTTCTGAGTTTCTTGACTTCAAACGTAGGAACAAGGTTTGCTTCCATCTATAACTTTTTTATCTGTTACAGTTTACAAATGCTTTTTTTGTACCGCTACCACATGAAACTTCTTTTGTTAAAAGAATATTACTGAACACTTTTTCATTAGGATTTTATTGTAATTCTACTTTAATACGGTTCCCATTGTGCCATTGATGCATACCATTTTTCTTCCTGGTGAGACGTAGTGTATTTTTGTTGTTTCTTTTTGCCCTTTTCATTAGACAGGTCCTTATCTGTTTCCACTTGGTTGCACTTGGATTATGCACTTGCAGATTCGTGCCTTTGTAGACAAATTAATAGAGAGGCATATGGCCACGAAGCCAGTGATGAAATCGTGACAGTCCCAAGGATTTGTTGTCATTTCTTGGTCAATAATGAAGTCATTATGGTCCCAAGGATCAAGTGGCTTGATTGGCGAGCTCTCGAGGACACACTTGGATTATTCATTTAAGCCTGGGAAGACTCCAAGGTATATGTTGGCATGAAAGACTTCATAACTTGACGCCTGTATTACATTTCCAGCGTACCTTAATTTCTGAAGCTGCAATTAAGAAATATGACATTTCTGCTTGTGTAATCAGTTGTGGAGTTTCATTGATCTACCAAGATTTTGGTTCGTGCTGTCAGATATGATTATAATTGGTCCTGGTGCTAAATGTGATTATGATTGGTATCGAACTTCAGCTCGATTCTGCATAATTCTTTTGGCATGGCTTAAATTTATGCCGCCCCTCAGGATCACTCTAGGTGTCATTTTCTTGCTCAATCGGGTCACAAGCGCTCGTTAAAGAAAACATCACATTGTACTATAAGGGTATAAGATCAAGCCCTTCAGTTGTACTATAGGGTATAAGATCAACCCCTTCAGTTCTTAGCGATGGACCTTAGGTTATGGTTCATTTTCTTTCTTCCTTTTCCCTCTTCACCTGTACAGCTTAGAATTATTTCATTGACGACAATCACACAGTAATTTTCATTTATTTGCAAACATTTCTCAATCTTTGAGACTGAATACTGTAATTTACCTGTCTTTTATTTCCATACATTGACTAAAATATTGTCTTGGTTGAGACATCAAACTGTAGACTGTTATGGGCAGTGCTTCTGTTAATAACTTTGATAAACGAAAATGTTCCTTATGTCTAGACAAAGGAGATTGACTGCTTATGCGACTTGGAACACGACAAATGCAATATACGCACCGAAGCATCTGTAAGTGAGTCAACATTTCCCCTCCCTTTCTGTCTCTTGCACTTTTCTTGCCAATTGGTTTACTGCTTACAATTTTTGGTTATTGCTAGGTTTGCAGTGTATGGATTGTTGCTTCACTCTTACCCACAATTAGGTAACTTTCTTTTAGCCTATTTTAGACCTTTCACTTATTGCAGCTGTTGCATATTTGTATATGAGCAGTAGAACATCTTAGAATAAGGTCATGAATAGAAGTATTATCCAAAGTGAAGCATGTGACCTTGGTATCTGATTTGTGGTCGAGTCCATCGTCGATTATTGATAATTCCGTTTCAATTATGCAAATCATGCATTTTTCGGGCTTGTGCAAAACTGCACCTAGCTTGACTGTAAAAAGTTTAAGAAGTCCCATCTTCAGTCCTCAACTTTAACTCTGCAAAAGAAAGGGATGAATATAGAAACATGTGCAGTTGTTTTACTTTCTGGTCTTCAGATTTGGTGTTTTATGCAACTGATTTATCAAAGTTGTGTTTTAGCTCAGTGTTTTGTTTATTTATTGACTTCAATAAGTGGGGTGTGAAAATTTTCAGACCTTTCGATCAAAGAACATCTACATTAATGGTCGTTCTGCCTAATAATATTCACATATGGCATGTATTTGGTGGTGATGTCTGAATTGTGAGTACGCAGGAAGTTGTGTAACGGCTCAAACCGACTGCTAGTAGATATTGTCTTCTTTAGGTTTTTCTTCAAGATTTTTAAAACGCGTCCGCGAAGGAGAGGTTTCCACTTTTATAAAGAATGCTTCGTTCTTTTTTCCTACTGATGTGAGATAATTTTATAGTCCCTTTCTCTAGCAGATGCGTTTTTAAAATCTTGAAGGGAAGCTCAAAAGGGAAAACTCGAAAGGAAATGTCGAGGACAGTTTCTGCTAGCGGTGGGCTTGGGCCGTTACAAGTTGGTTCCGAGGAGGTTAAAAAGTAGCCATGATTTGCTTCATTATTGTCCATTGAGTTTAATACCCATCAGTTTTTGCCAACTATTCTTACCTACCCTGATCCTTCAAAAGGAATCCAAGCGTGGAAAAAGTTCGATAGCTTCTATTATTTTTAAGCATAATTTAATTTATTTGATTTCATATCTTTAAAATGTAATATTGTTGAAAAGAAAAAAGAGTAATTCCTATGTTTCATGGAATATATAATTCGTGAATCTTTTGTATTGATAAGGTTTTAAATTCTCACATCTGTCTGTTTTAATTTAATATTTCTAAGTGACGGAATGATTGAGTTTTAATATGTGCAGGCACGTTTTTATAGGCTTCACTAGCGAGATGTGGGCCTGTTACTGGGCCACGTCTGCATGTTATTCTGATTGCGGCCCACTTTATATTCCTGTTTGGGCCTGTTGTGGGCCAGGGGAAGCACAGCTGGAGGACCCGATCGTATTATTCTAAAGCAAATAATTATTCGCGGTAGCGTGAGCATTTCAGACCATTGTAGCGAGGCGACAAAGGAGTGGGCTTATTTGAAGAAGAGGAAGAAGAGAGAGAGAGAGAGTTCGAGATCGGATCTAATCGGCGACCTTCTTCATCTTCACCATCGAACCCAGAAAAGATGTCGTCAACTTTCAGTGGCGATGAAACGGCACCTTTCTTCGGCTTCCTCGGCGCCGCTGCGGCCCTCGTCTTCTCCTGTAATTCATCTTGCATCCAATGCGGTTTAATTTATTGTTTTCTGGGTGTGGATCTTTGATTCATATCGCGATGGGGGGTTTATGTTTTTTTTTTTTTATTTATTTGATTAGGTATGGGAGCTGCTTATGGAACGGCGAAGAGCGGGGTGGGAGTTGCGTCTATGGGAGTAATGAGGCCTGAACTGGTGATGAAGTCTATTGTTCCGGTGGTCATGGCTGGAGTTTTGGGTATTTATGGTCTTATTATTGCTGTGATTATTAGTACAGGGATTAACCCCAAAGCCAAATCTTATTACCTTTTCGATGGCTACGCGCATCTCTCCTCTGGGCTTGCTTGTGGCCTTGCTGGTCTGTCCGCTGGCATGGCTATCGGGATCGTCGGCGATGCTGGTGTTAGGTACAATTTGTTAACGTTTTGGAATGTTGATTTTAGCTGTCGTCGTGCGTGTATTTTGACCTATTAGCCTGTTCGCGCTTGTATACTTGTTATCGATAGAATTCGTTCGTGCACGTCTTGGTTGTTCTGTAAGCTTGTTTCTGCATTTTTCTTAGATTTCTTCCTCAAAAACTTGGTATATAATTTTGTTGATGTTATTGCATTATGTTCTGTTGGATTGGAGTTTGTATGTTGGATGTGATTTTGATGGATCCATGTCGTGGTGATGTAAATAGCTATAACTTTGATTTGATTTATTCCATTATGTTCCATGGTTTTGAGATAAGGTTATTCCTGAACTTTGTTTTCTCAAACCCATCTGATCAAGGTACTCATTCCTTACATTTAATCTTCTTCGTTGGACAGAGCCAATGCCCAGCAGCCCAAGCTTTTCGTTGGGATGATTCTTATTCTAATTTTTGCTGAAGCGCTGGCACTGTATGGACTCATCGTCGGCATTATTCTGTCTTCCCGAGCTGGTCAGTCGAGAGCTGATTAAGTGGAGTTTGTGTAGTGTATGTCCTCTTTTTTTGTCCATCCAGAATTGATTTTGTACTCTTTGAGTAAATGGGTTGTTGTTATGATTTTTAAGCCTACTCTCCCCAATGTTCTTGTGAGGTGTGATTGCTTGCTATACCTCAGGGACCCTGTAGTAGCGTAGCTAATATGGATTTGGGGATTAATTATTCTTCTCAATAAAAAGATTAAACTCTGTTGCATCAACATTGCTCTAATTTGCCTTAAGCTTCCCTCTAACTTGTTATCTTCAGCATTTCGACTTGCACTATTCTGAATGATGATGAGACTTGCACTATTCTGATTGGATGGTAAACTCTGTTTTTTTTAGTATTACATTGTTTTTTTTTTATTAAGTTTAGCTAGGGTTGCCAATTTACACGTGGGACCTATCCTAAACATGACTAGGAATGGGGATGGAGCGGGGAGGACTTTCTTCCTGTTAACTCTCTAACTCGATCCTCGGTCCTCGTTAAAATTGACTACGACTCCAAAGGAGTCGAGTCTCGATTAAGGGGAGACGCACTTTGTTCGAAGGGAGGTGTTGGATGATGAAAGTCCCACATCGGTTAATTTAGGGAATGATCATGGGTTTATAAGTGAGGAATACTAACTCCCTTGGTGTGAGGCCTTTTGGGATAGTCCAAAGCAAAGTCACGAGAGCTTATGCTCATAGTGGACAATATTATACTATTGTGGAGAGTCTCTAATAAACATCTCTAGTTTTAACTTTTGTGATCCATTGAAGGCTTCTTTATTTATTTTGAATTTAAAAAAGATTACTTATACCATACCCTAAAGATATTCGATTAAGATAACCTTTTGTTATTGAGACATAGGGTTATAAATTACAATATCGCATGTGCAACCATTCCAAGTGAGTTGATATCGAGATCTAAGTTACGAGGTATACTTAACATTAATGTGGGCGTGAAGATTTATACTTTTTCTTCTTTAGAACGGGATGAAACTACGATGAAAATGAGGAAATTTAATTATATTTTCCACAATTAACATGTAGACAGACCGATTAAAGAAATGCAAACCCAATCAGATTTAATTCATACCATTAAAATATTAGGATATACTCGACGGTATACTTGGCAATATTATAAAAAAAAACAAAAAACAAAATTAAATTAGAAAATTTCAATTATAGTAAAATTTGAAGAGAGTGTAAATTTTTCATGAAACTGTCTATTTTTTTTTAAATTTTTTTTAATTTTTTTAATTTTTTTTCGTTTCAAGTAAATATATTGGTTCAAATTTCTCATTTAAATAAGATAAAAAAAATTAATATAATTTATTGAATTTTAAATCATGAGACTTTAAATCCTTCTTTGATTTCAAAGTATGATAAGTGGTTAAGACACGTGTACTTATTTAAAGTCCAATATTTAATATATATCCTCACAATATTGAATTTCTTGGTTAAAAAGGTAAATAATAATTTAAATTATCATTCAATTATTTTAGATAATTCATTTTTGTGAATAATAGATATCCAAATTTTATAAAAAGATTGAAAATTTCCAGACCTATTAAATAAATACTGAATATTGAGGGACTAAATTATAATTTATTTTGAAAATTGTATATATATATATATATATATATTATTTTATTTATATCTAAATTTTAGTGTTTTGCCTTTGGTTTCTTTTCGATTATTCCAGATAACGTGGAGAGATNGTTTTTCCCGGTTGTTACAGATATGATGAGTATGATGATTGCATGACATTTGACTTAATATGTTGATGTTTTCTATATTAAGCATGTAATATGATGATGAGTGCCATATTGCATCATGTTGATAGACTGATATAGGATACAAACTTAAGAGCATGAAAATAATATTAATATAAATATCCAACGAACATGTGTTACTTAATATAATAAAGAGATGAGATTAGAGGGTTCATCAGAACAGATGTTAAGATAGGAATTAAAGGGATCTCATGCATATTGTATGTGCATAAGCATAGGACTACTTCCCCGAGAGATAATGAGTACAGATGTGCACAGTATGATGAGCAGGATGATCATGGGGAGCATGACACCAGGAGTTTCGCTGACCTTCGAACGTCGCTACATATAGCTAGCTTGACAAGAGAGGGTCCAGGGGGTGTACGAGTCGCCTAGGGATCCACATTCACACATGTGGGTTGTGTGTAGGGTAGTACTATACATCCATAGTATTCTGAACTGGAAGCCAATGAGATAGACATAGGTCCCAAGAACATGATTGCATATGTTTGGATTTGCATGACCCCCTATAGTGGGCTCATTTACTGAATTCTTCGAAATACTTAGGCTGTTTGTCACATCATTTTTCAGTAGAGGCAAGACGCACATGTATGGATGACGACAGCTAGCAGAGACGGTTTCCTGTTTCCAATGGGTTGGGCTGTTGGCACAGTTTCATTTTTCTTGGTATGTTTCAACCTTTGAATGAGCTAAAAAAAAAAAAAAAAAAAAAAAAAAAAAGCGAAAAACAAAAAGTTTGGGTATCTGAAGAAAAAGCAAAATCAGAGAGAGAGAGATAGGGAGGGAGAGAAAAAAGCTTCAGATCTAATCTGATCGGAGATCTTCTTCTCAGTCGAACTGAAAAAAAATGTCGTCAACGTTTAGCGGTGATGAAACGGCACCCTTCTTTGGCTTCCTCGGCGCTGCTGCGGCCCTGGTTTTCTCCTGTAAGAAAATTTCGTTCTACGCAATTGATTCCATGTCTCTTTTTATGGATCTTCATTGGATTGGCTGCTATTCTTGTTAATTAGGTATGGGAGCCGCTTACGGCACGGCGAAGAGCGGGGTTGGAGTGGCGTCAATGGGAGTGATGAGGCCGGAATTGGTGATGAAGTCGATTGTTCCGGTGGTTATGGCGGGAGTTTTGGGTATTTATGGTTTGATTATTGCTGTGATTATTAGTACGGGGATTAACCCGAAGGCTAAATCTTATTACCTCTTCGATGGTTACGCCCATCTCTCCTCTGGTCTTGCTTGCGGTCTCGCCGGTCTCTCTGCTGGTATGGCTATCGGCATCGTCGGCGATGCGGGCGTTAGGTACTCCATTTTACGTATTTCAGCTGATAGGAATTTTAATCTGTTACTCTATAGCATAGATTTATAGGTATTGTGGAAACTTCTGTCTGGCTTGATTTTGTTCTTTAGTTTATGTTTTCTATATGATTCTGCTAATTTTTCAACTTGGGTGAAAGTACTCTGATTGAAGATTTGTTATTAGAATCTGTGTCCCCATGTTCAAGTAGAGGAGTAAGGTTGCTTTTGGAAAGGGATGCCTGTGTTAAGAATGAGTTGAAAAATTAAACATATTTTGAGCTTACAAGTTAGGGACTGTGCTTCTAAATCTGATTGAACTGAAGACTTGAAGTTCAAATCTCTACGTTTTTGGCTTGGGATTCTAAGTTCCTGCTTGATTATTTGCTGCCTCAGATCAATATGAATGGTCGAATGCCTCAAATCCCCAAAAGATTAATGGTATCACTATTGTTCTTAATCCTTTCATATTTGTACAAGTTTCATAACAGCCATGCCTAGCTGATATTGTTCTCTTTGGACTTTCCCTTTTGAGTTTCCCCTCAAGGTTTTGAAAATGCGTCTATTAGGGAAAGGTTTTCACACCCTTATAAATAATGCTTTGTTCCCCTCTCCAATCGATGTGGGATCTCACAATCCACCCCCCTTCGAGGCCCAGTGTCCTCGCTGGCACTCGTTCCTCCCTCTAATCAACGTGAGATCTCACAATCCATCGATGTGAGATCTCACAATCCACCTGCATTCGGGACCCAGCGTCCTCGTTGGCGCACTGCTCGGTGTCCAATTGATACGGAATCTCACAACCCTCCCTTCAGGGCTCAGCGTCCTTGCTAGTACCTGTTTCTCTCTCCAATCGATGTGAGATCTCACAATCTTTCGAGGTCGGATCTCACAGGCTCTTTGCAAAACAAGCAACGTTTTGTTTCTTGTTACAGTAACTAGAGAGATTATTCATTTGCATTCTTGGGTCTGTTTCTCTGAATCAGTCATTTGGTTTTGAATTGGGTTGCCTACTTGCTTCCACAGTTTACAACGAATTTGTTTCCAGCAGTTGTTTAGTGCCTTCTTGTGAATAGTTGTTCCAACTTGCTAGCTGATGATGTATGCCATTGGTATGCAACTTCAAATCTTCTGGTTAAAAGTAGGACAGTTTTGATGCAGAGAGATGTGTAGAATATGTAGGCATCTAATAATTGTGTGTGTTTTGCAGGGCCAATGCACAACAACCAAAGCTTTTTGTTGGGATGATTCTCATTCTAATTTTCGCGGAAGCACTTGCCCTTTATGGACTTATTGTTGGTATTATTCTCTCATCCCGAGCTGGTCAGTCAAGAGCTGATTAAGTGAATGTTTTGCGCTTGGAAATTGTGTATTATGTCTCTTCTTGTTCTCATTTCTTGTTTTTTTGTAGTTCTCTGATTAGAAATGGTCATGACTAAGTATTACTTTCTCAAATATTCTTGTTTTTGTTGTGTGATTTCTGTACTCAACAAGGATTTGGAATCAATTATTCTTCTCAATAAACACAAAACATTGTGACTGTTTATTGTGCTGAATGCGTTGCTCTTGAATCTGTTCCTCTAGAGACTGCTAATTTGTGCGGTGATACAGTGTAATTAATGGCTAGAAATCTCCGGTATTTGGACTACAATTCCTTGAATGGAAATTACCAGGGTTGCTTCAGTTCTTGAAGTTAAGAATTTGTAGATTGAATTACATGTTAGAATTATCTCCGTAGGAGTTCTGAGATCCCATATTAGATGGAGAGGGGAACGTATCGTTCCTTATATGGGTGTGAAAACCTTTTTCTAACAAATGCATTTTAAAACCGTGAGGCCGACGGCAATACGTAACAGGCCAAAGTAGACAATATCTCTAGCAATGGGCTTGAATTGTTTCAAGAGTACATACTAATTATCGTTGATCTATGTATTACCAAAGTTTCAATTACATTAATAGATTTGAACTATGCTCATTCCTATGAATTGTTTCTTAATACATTTTTTCAAGTCTTAGCAAAAAAAGGCAAAAATTTAATGAATTAAATTATTATTTTTATATACAAAAATTGTCTTTTAAAATGTAATGGTTAAAAGAGCTATTTATTACGCAATAAACTCTGATGACACAAAATAAAAGGTGGAAGAGTTATAAAATTGTATTAAAAAATAATAAGTTTTAAAGTTTTTTAATATGATTTTTCATAATATATTAAAATTGAATGGTAAATTATCTTAATTTGAAAAGGCATGGAAAGATGTTTTATGTTTAATAATTTTATTTTTACTAAAAAATAAAAATTGAAATAAATGATTTCCATATAATTTATTTTTATAAAGTCGAGTCTTTAATTAAATATAAAAATAATAAATTATTTGCACGTTACGTCACTGCTAATGTAAGCGCGTAAAGGGATCTAGCAATCCTCAAGGAGTGGATATAACAAAACTTCCGGATTTCTTATTCTTCCACGCCATTTCTTCAATTAATCACCGCTAATAATTATAATTTTGTAGGAGTGGAAATAACAATTTTTTTTTATTAAATAAAAAAAGAAACACAAAATCACCACATATATTTTTTTAATTTTAATTTTTCAATTTTTTAATTAATTTGCTTCCTCGCCAAGTCGGCGAAGTCTTATGGCGGGCTGGTGGACGAACATGGTTCACTATTTATAGGACGGAAACTTGAATCGCAGAAGAATGGTTGAATTTTCATTTCTTGATGACCATAAATCGTCTGCGAATTTCGAGCTCATTTGCGAAGATGGCTGAGGAGATCAGTAAGGCAGAACTCAGAACTGCCACTTCTGCGGCAGAGAAGGCGCAATCGAGATCTCTTTGGCCCTCTGTTCTCCGTTGGATTCCCACGTCCACCGATCATATCATCGCCGCCGAGAAGCGACTTCTCTCTCTTGTCAAGTAATTTCTCTCTCTTCTCCTCTCCTAAAACCATAGAGGTCCTTTTGAAGAAGAATTCGATTGATTGTTAATTGGGCGATGTGTTTGGTGTTTGGGGCCAGATTCTGGAGATGGAATTTGTTGGTTACTGGAATAGTCGCTCCTGTTAGAGTTTTAGATATTTGCGGTGTAATTTATCGTGACGTTTCTAAAAAATTATTTAGTGAATTGCGACAACATTTCGAAGTTCTTTTTAATTCGAAGGTCATTGGATTTCATGACAACTAGAGAATTCGCATTTCTTTCGTTTAAGGCACGCTTTGGAAACTGGAATCCAAAATTGCTTATCCATGTTATCATTTAAGAGCTTCATTAGGAATAGATAATAATATGATTCGAAGTCTTGTTTTGTGACAATTTGTTGTCTCTTTATTTATGATAATCGAATTTGTGCAATTTCAGAACTCCCTATGTCCAAGAACGGGTTAACATTGGTTCTGGCCCGCCAGGAACGAAAACTAGGTGGTTTTGTTCTTCGAGTGATGAGCCTAGATATATCAACACCGTGACATTCGAAAGCAAAGCTGAGTCTCCGACTCTTGTAATGATTCATGGTTATGCTGCTTCTCAAGGGTTCTTCTTCCGGAATTTTGATGCTCTTGCCAGTCGCTTCCGGGTCATTGCCGTCGATCAACTTGGGTGAGCTTAATCTTCTAAGATAAATCTTTTAATTTGATGTCTAAGTTTTATTTAAATAGGCCATCTGGTGTAATCCATGTTTTATTCCTTCGCTGTAATTTGTGCTCATCGTTTGATAAGCCTTCTATTATGTATGTATATACATACATAATAGAAGGCGCGATGAAGAAGAGTGGGGAAAAAGATGTCATTACAAATTAGTTGGTGTGCGCAGTACGTTTATGTTGATGGGGGAGGATGTGAGCTCAGAGGGGTATCTTTTTTGCTGATCATTTTGTGAGGTTATCCTGTGGGAGAGGGGAAGCTCTAGTATTCTTCCATTGACATTGTACCCTTGTTGATAAATAAACTGAGATCCCACGTCAGTTGGAAAGGAGAATGAAACATTCCTTATAAGGGTGTGGAAACCTCTCCTTAGTAAGCGCGTTTTAAAACTTTGAGAAGAAGTCCGGAAGGGAAAGCCTAAAGAGGACAATATCTGCTAGCGGTGGGCTTGGGCTATTACAAATGGTATCAAAGCCAGACATCGAACGAGTGCCAGCAAGGACGTTGGGACCCCAAGGGGGTGGATTGTGAGATCCCACATCGGTTGGAGAGGGGAACAAAGCATTCCTTACAAGGGTGTGGAAACATCTGTCTATCATACGCATTTTAAAACCTTGAGGGGAAGCCCAAAGAGGACAATACCTACTAACGATGGGCTTGGGCGGTTACATAAGCTCAGTTCATGTCATCATTTGTTTTTAATGACTCGTCCAATATCAGGTTCTCCACCATCAGTACGGCTGTCTTTTTTTTCCTATAATGAATGAGCAACATAAATTTGTACTGAAGTTTCTTTACTTGCGTGTTTGTAGGTGGGGAGGGTCTAGCAGGCCCGATTTTACATGCAAAAGCACAGAAGGTTGAGTAAACTTCCATTCGATCTCTTAGTAGTTCTATTATAGCAAGGGGTTTTCCTCTTCTTTTGTTTGGTTTAACAATTATTATGGAAACTGCGGTAATGTACAATATTATATGGAAGTGAAACAAGCCATGTCTCTTGAACTTCAAACAATTTATGTTCTATTAAGGTTCTGATTCTTATGTTCACGATGCAGAAACTGAAGCATGGTTTATAGATTCTTTTGAGGAGTGGCGAAAAGCAAAAAGCATCAGCAATTTTGTTTTACTTGGACACTCATTTGGTGGATATGTTGCGGCTAAATATGCTCTCAAGGTGATTGCTTTTGCAATTCAATTATAAGGATTAAGCATTTATGATCGCCTTTGTGATTTCTGAGGTCAATGTCATTTTCTTTTTCAGCATCCTGAGCACGTCAAGCACCTAATTCTAGTTGGACCTGCTGGATTTTCTTCAGAGTCAGAGGCCAAGTCTGAGCGGCTTACACAGTTTAGAGCTACTTGGAAAGGAGCGGTTTTGAATCATTTGTGGGAGTCAAATTTTACTCCACAGAAGCTTATTAGGTATTTTCTACTTTTATTTAAGCTTTCGGTTTATTGATTAATTCGACAAAGAAACCTGGTTCTTTACTCTATTGTCATCCTTTACTCTTTTCTTTAAGAGTTGGGACTTGGGATCAATTCTTGGCTAGTTCATCCCAAACAAAGTATGACGCACGCCATATTATAGTTTCTAATAACATCATCTGATCTTATAAACTCAACAGCATGACTTCAGACAATGTTTTTTAACCCATAATTCAGTAGACTCTATAAAAGTTTGTCTTTCCATCATTTCATTTTTGGTGTAGTTGGATTGTATATTTTGGTTGAAAAGGTTAAAAGAAAGGGGAAAAATTAGACTTCTGTGTCATTGCTTAGCTTTTGTTTTTAGCTTTGGTACATTCATAATACTGGACAATTTTTTTTATCTTGTGCCACTATATAATATTTTTTTGGCAAATTTAAGTAATGCAAGACTCCTAATCTCCTGTCTCCGCATTTCTTAGAGGTTTGGGCCCTTGGGGTCCAGATCTTGTTCGCAAATATACAAGTTCGAGGTTCGGGACATACTCAATTGGGGACATATTGAATGATGAAGAATCCAGATTGTTATCAGGTAATGGAAGATAAAGCGTTGTATATTTGGCCCCAAAATATGACTTGTTTTGACATTTCCCTTTTTCCAAATGAAGATTATGTATATCACACATTAGCAGCTAAGGCTAGTGGAGAATTGTGCTTGAAATACATATTTGCATTTGGTGCGTTTGCTCGGATGCCACTTCTACAGAGGTTTGATTACTTTACTTTCTGCCATTTAAAATTGTGTTATACCTTTTTTGTTGGTTGAAATTATGTGCCGTCCAATTTTACTTTCTGTTCCATTTTAAAAAAAAAATATTATTGTTTTCACGAGAAACAAATATATTATTGATGTGTTGAAATATACCAAAGAAAAAGGGAAACCCGAGTAGGAGAGGGTCACAAAATGTCCCCTCTAGCTAATCAAAAGGTCATTTATGTTAAAAACCACGACTCTCCACAATGATATGATATTGTCCACTTTGAGCATAAGCTCTCATTGCTTCGCTTTTGGTTTCCCCAACAGGCCTCATACCAATGGAATGTATTCCTTACTTAGAAACCTATGATCAACCCCTTAATTAGCCGATGTAGGAATCCTCTCGCAACAATCCTCAGTGACTTAAACCGTAACTAGAAAAGGAGGAGAAAAAACATTTACACCAACTTAAAGCCATGACAAAATCATCATACGAAAAGGCTGAAAACACATCCCTGTCAGTCCTATCGTCCCTTTCCTTCCAAAGACACCAAAGGAACGCCTCTCCTCATCCTGTTCCATTTTGTTTGATAGATTTGGTCTTGCTAACTGTCTATTTAGTTTTACAGTGACCACAATAACTTTCTTATGCGTGTCTTTTCCTTTTAATTTTGGGTCTCTCTGTAAGCTTGTGCAAGTAGCTGCATTTTGAACTGTAAACTTATTATGCATCTCTGTCTATGTAGCACTGTTTCTTTCCATATATTTAGAAGCTGAGAACTCTGGTTTATTATTTTAGAAGAACAATAGCTCTAAGTGAATGCAAGTTTCTTATAGTTTAATTTGAAAAACCCTTTGTAATAACAAGAAACAATATTTCATGAATTAGGGATTACTTCTGGGGAATAAGGGCTTGTGGAGCTCAACCTCTATAACACTGTCTGAAAAAGAAAAGTACATAAAATTCACTAATACTAGATCGCTTAGTCTGAATGTAATTAATTGTGAATTCCATGATAAGAATATCTGCATATCTGATTACCTTCATTTTGCTCAGGGCATCCGAATGGAAAGTTCCTACAACATTTATATACGGTTATGAAGATTGGATGAACTATCAAGGCGCTCAAGAAGCTCGCAGAAGTATGAACACACCGTGCGAAATACTACGCGTTCCTCAGGTTTTACCGTCCTTCTTGTTCTCTTTAGATAAGAATATCTGTATTTTAGCATCCATCTTATAAGACTATTCTTATTATGACTGCAGGCTGGTCACTTTGTGTTCATAGACAGCCCTAGCAGTTTTCACTCGTCAGTGTTCTACGCGTGCCGAAGATTCCTCTCTCCCGAACCCGAGAAAGAATCCTTGCCAGAAGGTATAATATCTGCCTGAAGTCTTCACCAAACATTTTGGATACAAATTCAAAAGGAGAAACCCAAACCAGTTCATGGAACAAATTGTTTTTTACATCAATTTTTTTATGTATTATATTTATGAAAGTTGTGTAGCTTTTGTGCTTTTTATAGTTTAATATAGCACTTTGCAGTACAAGACTTGAATGTTCCAAAAAATGCTTACCACTTTTATATTTGAGTAGCTTTCTTGCACACCAGCAGCCCTTCAATAGATACGAAGAATAGATGTCCAAAAATACATAAATCAATTACTAAAACCTTATTTTATTATTAGAAAAGTTGAAAACGAAAAAAAATTCCGTTGCCGGGAATCGAACCCGGGTCTTTCGGGTGAGAGCCGAATATCCTAACCAACTAGACTACAACGGATTTGTTATTTAACTGACAATATTTTTTTAATAAAATATAAATTTATGTATTTATATATTTTTAGCGGGTGATTTACGGTTACTCTTGGACTTCGCGACCTCTCGCCAGCGAATCCACGAATTGAACTGAAGCCATTTTCAGAGACAAACTCCAAAATTCACCAGAGATCACTGAAGAAGAAGAAACCTTGTCTTCGCTCCGCCGGAGAATACGCATTCCGATGGAAACAATGTCGAGCTACATAACCACTGGTCTTTACAGCCGCTCACCTTTCACATTTCCACGCCTTAAACCACGACGTCTCAACCACTCCGGCGGGAGTAGCGTCTCCGTAAACTGCGTTGCTAGCAAATGGGCTGAGCGACTACTTGGAGATTTTCAATTCCTCTCCGGTTCCTCCTCCACCGTCACTCTCTCTCCTTCTTTCCCTCCTTATATTGCCTCCCCCGAGCGCCATGTTACAATCCCCATCGATTTCTATCGAGTTCTTGGAGCTGAGACGCATATTATTGGGGATGGGATTTGTAGAGCTTACGAAGCTAGAGTTTCGAAGCCGCCGCAGTATAGGTTTAGCCAGGAGACTCTGATTAGTCGCCGGCAGATTCTTCAGGCAGCTTGCGAAACCTTGGCGGATCATACTTTGCGAAGAGAGTACAATAAAGGCCTTTCGGAAGATGAAGACGGTACTGTTCTCACGCAAGTTCCTTTCGATAAGGTAACGTTTGTTTTTACATTTGCTCTGTTAATCAATATAAAAGACAGTCTTGGTTGGTTGAGTTATATTATGCTTTTCATATTGTAGCGAATGTCAGTTGTTCCAGTACCTGATCAAGCTGTTTGCTGTATAACCTTAAATGAGCAGATTTTGTGAATTGGAATTGTTAATTTGCAGGTTCCTGGTGCTTTGTGTCTGTTGCAAGAAGCTGGAGAGACAGCATTGGTTCTTGAAATTGGAGAGAGCTTGCTTAAAGAGAGGCTGCCAAAGTCATTCAAGCAAGATATCATCCTGGCCATGGCTCTTGCTTATGTTGACATATCAAGGGATGCTATGGCATTATCTCCTCCTGATTTTATTCAGGGCTGCAAAGTGCTCGAGAGGGCTGCCGAGTTGTTGCAGGTAAATATTTGATTGTAACTCTTCAATTCCAACCATTGCCATTTTCAAGAAGGCCTTTTAAGCTATCTTTTCTTTTTCTTGCACAAATTAGCAAGAAATGGTGTACGTAAAGAATGATGATGATTGATCTCAATGTTAAGCACTGAGTAGTGATGAGAAAAAGGCATAAATAAAGACTAGATCAATTGGCTTTCATGAAGTCATGCACGAAATATAGTTATATTATGCTGATTGAAGAACACTTACCTTCGGCAATGTAGGAGGAAAGTGCTAGTAGTCTTGCACCTAATTTGCTTTCACAAATTGATGAGACATTGGAAGAGATCACACCTCGATGTGTTCTGGAACTGTTGGCTTTGCCTCTCGATAATGAGTGGCGAAAAAGAAGGGAAGAGGGTCTTCATGGCGTGCGCAATATTTTGTGGGCTGTTGGAGATGGGGGAGCAACAGCTATTGCTGGTGGATTCACCCGTGAAGACTTTATGAATGAGGCATTTGAACGAATGACAGCATCTGAGCAGGTTTGTGCAGCATTAAAATCTTCCTAAATAGTCCTCTCTTTTGCTGCTTGTTACATTAAGCCTCTCTTTTTCTGTTCAAAGGTTGATCTCTTTGTAGCTACACCAACAAATATTCCTGCAGAACGTTTTGAAGTGTATGGAGTGGCACTTGCACTCGTGGCACAAGCCTTCGTTGGCAGAAAACCGCACCTTATCCAAGATGCTGACGACCTCTTCCAACAACTTCAGCAAACTAAGGAAGCTGTTGTTGGGACTGCTGTCACAGGATATGCACCTCGCAAGGTTCATTTTTTCCTTGAAAGGGGGCTATGTTCCTTACTTTGTGGAGAACTTGACGAGTGTCGATCATGGCTGGGCCTAGACAGTGAGACTTCACCTTACAGAAATCCAGCTATTGTAGATCATATTCTAAATAATTCTGAAAATGATCTTCCGGGGCTATGTAAGCTGTTGGAGATGTGGTTAGCAGAAGTGGTGTTCTCCAGATTTAGAGACACGAAAGACATTTATTTTAAGCTTGGAGATTACTACGATGATCCCACTGTTTTGAGGTACTTAGAGAAACTGGAAGGAGTTAATGGTTCACCACTAGCTGCAGCAGCAGCTATAGTGAAGATTGGTGCTGAGGCTACTGCAGTTCTTGATCATGTGAAATCCAGTGCTATTCAAGCACTGCGGAAGGTGTTTCCCCTTGGTCAGAACAGTTTTAGGCGTGAGGCAGATGCGGAAACGGAATATATTTTTCCTGCTGTAAATAGTCAGGTGCCTTTAGTGAGCTTTGATGAGAATGAGAATGAACGTACCAACTTATCTGAGGTTTCTGAGAGAGCTAAAGCTGGCGAAATAAATGATGAAAAACCAATTACTGATCAAATTAAAGATGCAAGTGTGAAGATCATGTGTGCTGGTTTGGCAGTTGGGTTGGTGACTTTGGCTTGTTTGAGGTTCTTACCTGCTAGAATTAGCACAACTTCTCTACTTAAAGAAGCTGGTTCTTCTAGCGCATCAACTACCAGTGTAGGTATGGTCTAAATATTAAAAAATATCATAAAGAAAATTCTAATTTCAGATTCCTACGTCCAGAATTTCTAGATACATCTTATAATATAGTGTATTTATGTGTTGAAGATGGTTTTATGCTCGGGAGAACTCGTAGTAGGGTTGTTTGAACTATATTTAGGCATAATCCTTTTTGTTTGAATCCATCGTTTGCTTTATATTCTTCCAGTGGGAATTGTCTTGAATTGTTCAAGTCACAAGCACAAGGCATTTCATATTTTTATTTTATGAACTTTCGTTGAATCTGGAATGTGTTATAGTTGAAAATGGTTTATCTTAAACTTTTTTAGCTGTTAAGGTTTCATTTATTTTTCTGGTGCGTGATTTGCATGGCTACTCCTTGTGGCTTTAAAAAATTGCATGTCTTTCCCTTCCGTATGCAGACCAAGTTAAGTTCTTCCTCTCCCTTTTAGCATTATGGTCTGCAAATTGGGTTATGGTTAGTTTTTCAGCTAGAAACTATGAATTATCAGAAGTCCAAATGCCAGTTTTTTTCTTTTCTTCGTCATATATGTTTCGACTGATTTCAGTTTCCAATAGCCAACATGTCTCGACTCTCGATGATTTACGAACTTCTCTACCGTGTCAACTTCATGGGAGGAAACCTGGTCTTTGAGTTTCATAACATGATTTTTATTTGCGCAGCATCTGAAGTTGAAAATTCCAGCGAGGAGTCGTCTAGAATGGATGCACGGATTGCAGAAGGTCTAGTTCGCAAATGGCAGAGCATTAAGTCTCTGGCTTTTGGACCTGATCATTGCCTAGAAAAACTACAAGAGGTAAGGATGTTCCACAAATCGTACATACAAAATTATCCTGTTTTGTTGTTTCATTCTGAGCTGCAATTGACACAATGGCCTTCCCCCCTCCCTTTCCACAGAAATAAAATAAAATATAACGGATAAAAACCCATTTAGTTTGATCATTAATGTACAAGATTTTCCTGTTGACATCGTTGCAATTCTAAGAGAATGATCCTCAGAAGCAAACATCTCAATTTTTGTGGGGTGTTTTATCTTTCCAAACGTGATTCCATTACCATCAATTTGTTTTAGTAGTGCTTAACTTCATTCTCTTATATGTTATGGAGTTTTTTGACAATTTTGTCACCAAAAGGTTCATTATGATTTATCAAGGATAAAACACTTATTTATCCTTTTTGGTGGTGATTACAATGGATGTTGAAACTATACGTTAGAAAGATAAATGTAATAATCTGGGCAGGTAAGAAATAAAGAGAACAATATTTGCTAGCGGTGGGTTTAGGCTGTTACAAATGGTATCAGAGCTAGACACCGGGCATTGTGCCAGCGAGAACGTTGGGCCCCAAATGCGGGTGGATTGCGAGATCCCACATCGGTTGGAGAGGAGAACGAAGCATTCCTTATAAGGGTGTGGAAACCTCTCCCTAACAGACGCGTTTTAAAAATCTTGAGGGGAAGTTCTTGAAGGGAAAGCCCAAAAAAGACAATATCTGCAACTTTCAGAGTAATGGCGTCTTGTCATCCAATGACGTTCTCAACTTGTCTTGTTTTAGACCTGAATGCATTGATGCAAGTTGTTTTTGACTGAATGCATTGTTTCTCTCACTTATGTTTTCCTTTGTAGCAAACATAATGACATTATAATATCTTTTCCAGATATTAGATGGTGAGATGTTGAAGATCTGGACGGATCGTGCAATCGAAATTTCAGAAATCGGTTGGTTCTATGACTACACACTCTCGAATCTAACCATTGACAGTGTAACAGTATCTTTAGATGGCCGGCGTGCCATGGTGGAAGCAACTCTTGAAGAATCAGCTCATCTCATTGATGTAGGCCATCCAGAACACAATGACTCACACAGAAAAACCTATACAACAAGATATGAGATGTCATATTCCAGTTCTGGATGGAAAATTTCCAAAGGTGCCGTTCTTGAATCTTAATTGGATGGTTATAATATATCATTAACCTGTAAATGCATCTCTTCTGGATTGTTATAATCACAGCTTTTTAGTGTCTATGAAGAGGAAGAGCGCTGGGAAGACTCTTTGTCGAGACTTGTGGTATTTTTTGTGTTAATAATTCATTTATTTAATCTTTTCTTATAGCAGTTCAATTCAAGTTTGTCATAATGTTTCATACACATTATTACTATTTATGATAATCTGAATAAATCTTAGGAAGACTGAGCTTTTGGTCCCTCTCTTTATGTGACGCTCATTCTCTTTCTTTATCTGTCTTTGTTTATCTCTTTTAACTCTTCCTCTCATCACTCTTCCTCATTGTTCATTGCTCTCTTTTTATGCTACTCTTACATTCTTTATCTCTTAATTTTGTTGTCCACTAAATGCAACGACTCAACAGCATCGAGTCTACAGGTAAAAGCTTGGCTTAGATATTCGATTTAGATTTGGTCTTCGAGCTCCCACGATTAGAGACGTGTAAGTCTTAATGACAGGTTTGATCCTCGTGTGAATTACACAAGGTGGGGTTAGTGGGTCTTGGCTAGCCCATTCAATGCAAGAACATGCTTGAGGTACTAAAAAGAGTCAACCGAAACAGCTTGATCGGTTAAGACTAACCCTCGATCAAGAGGTGAGGTGAGGTTCGAATTCTCCCACTCTTATTAATAGTCTGTTGGGAGGACATTAGTGGAAGTCAAAGATATTCATTAAACACAGTAAGTTTGGGTAGAGAGAGATCATTCATTATAGTAGAACCTTAGAGGGAAGCTTTTTCAATAAGTACTTCAGGGATCTTTCAGTTGTACACAGGAGGGAAAAAAATGGTGTTCTTTGTTAGTATTCCTCGCAAGTGTGTATATACACGTGAACAACAAGAGGTCAATTCAATTACAACATGAAAGGTGAAAAGTTAAAAGAGAATCTTATCCATCTTCTAGGGAATTTTCATTACATAATTGGATTTTTCTACTAGTCTGGATGAGTAAAGACATAAAAAATACGTACTAAGATATGAAGGTGCACAGTTCAAAAAGGAAGAGACAGGTTCCTTCTCCTGGAAAAAGAACTTTGATGTAAGGATTGGAGTGAGAAGGATAGCCCAAACATCTCCCTTGACACCTGATCAGAGTCCACAAATCCAATTAGCTTTGCCACAAGGGCAGCACTTTCTTGTATATGCTCCATGTCCTTTGTTCTTGACCATAGCATTCGTGTCAACTGTATGCTTCGTTGCTTCGTCTTCAAGTCGATACCCCACTTCTCGTAAAGCTCATCTCTTTCTTTCACTGTGAACTTCTTTTTTATTCGCCTGGCCAACATTTCTCTCTCGCGGTTGAGAGCCTTCAAGCTACTCCAGTTTTACAGAAGTGTTTTAGTACTACTCAATAATCACACTGGATGAACTCAGCATTTTGGTTTAAAAACGAAAGAAATAAGCACATACCTCGAAGCTTGCGTGATGGCGTTTCTTCCCGACACATCAGTTGATCGGGAAATGGCTTCCCTCATAAAGAACAACCTTCTAAGCTCTACTTCCATGTATACAGCATCCGAAGGGTCTCCTTTAAAAAGGATGAAGAAATATGATCTGTGAGCCAATGGTACGTTGCAAGCATCCCAAAGCTCAATTATCTCTCTTTGTTGATCTTGGAACTCTAAAATCCACTCAGGATCCGACTCAAAATCTTGTGCCTCTTCCATGTAAAATTCTTGTGTGCTTTCTTCTGGTTCATCCTTCTTCCAGATCATTCCCAGCCTCTGTCATATACATTCATTGGGATCAAGAGAAATATCCCAAGAAGAGTTCAAACTCTACATTTCTCACGATTGTGATGAAAATGTATTATGGTTTGTCAATGGTCACAGAAGAGAATGATACAAAATGTAAAATACAAAAGAAAAACAAACTCACCGAACCGGATCGCTTCCTTATCCGAGCTTTGCCCTTTCCTTTTTTTTCAGGAGAAAAGTTGACAACACTAGTATTATCATTATCATCATCATCTTCATCTATTATTTGCAAAGTCTTAGCTTCTGAACTGTGACTACATACAGGTTGTGAGTCCATGGTGTCCATATTTCCACAGCTTAAACCGCGCTTTCTCCAACTGCCTTCTAGTCCAGAGAAGTTCACGACAGATCCAACAATTTGAGGTTTCTGATCTATCTCTGCCTTTTCAATCCAAGAAGAAGGTGGTGGTAAGGTCAGTAAAACAGTCAAACAACTTTTGCTTCTGGCCAACTTTGAGTTCTGAAAACCAGATTTTGTTGTTTCCTTTGCGCTGAGAGATCGCTCAGAAGGATAAATATTTACAATACAATTCAATGTTTTCTGCGTCTCAGCTGCTTTTGGCACAAAACCGCTGTAAGTAAAATCTTTGTCAAATGTAATTATCTCCGTGTTCTTCCTTTGTGGGAATACCACTTGATTAGTGCCGGAAATACTAACCATCTTTCCTTCACTGTCCTCCAATCTAGCTAAAGTTAAATCACCATCTTCGTTTAGTGTTTCTTTTGGTTCTTCCAGTTCAATGCATTGAACGTCCTTACAACTATCTTCATAATTTGCATGAACACGTTTAGCAATCTCTTCCCAGTCGTTGTAAGGATCAGGTCCAGCCAGTTCAGGAGTACTGCTATCTAGTAGAAAATTGTCCTCGTCACTAAAAGAGAATAGAGGATCAACCTTGTGAGGGCTATTCTCTTCTTGTCCATAAAATGTGCCAAAAGTTTTGAGGCTTGAGTCTTCAGAATGCAGATCGAGATCGAGATCGACATCGGCATCGAGATCAACTAGATCTGGTACTGTTTGTACTATATTTTCACTTTGCTTAAATATCATATCTTCTCCGACAGAATACAATAAATTCTCGATTCGATATTGAGCAAGATCACGCTGCCGAGTCAATTCCCTGATCTCTTTGTCCATCTGAGTATTCATAAACAAAAACAAAATAAGGAACAATTACAACAGCGACCACATATTCAACATAAACCAGATAATCTAGAAACAACTTCTAACTCTAATTCCCATTTGTCAAACAACTAATCAATTTTCATTAATGATTTTACCTCATCACTTTCCTTAAGGGTCAACAATTAGAAATAAAAGGAGCTGAATTTACCTTCTTTCTGTCCAAGTTAGAATTTACAGAGGCTGTTTAACCATGTTCAGGTGCAGAAAAAGTAGAGTAGAACGCTGTACCGATAAATAACTTACCGCTGCCTGATTCGGGTTATTCTCCTTTTGTTGAGAAAAGTGTTTCAAATAGATTTCATATATAAATAGGAAACCTGTTTGATTAGATTGAATGAATGTAGGAGCTAAATCCTCACCTGCTCAATGACAAGTTCTTTCTCTTTCAACAAGGCAGTAGAATCTCCTTTGCCAGGAAGTGGCTTGAAGTTCTTCATCTCAGTCTCAAGTCTAGCCAATTCCCTTTGCAACTGCTTCACCAAAGCCTTATCTGAGACCACCACATTGACATGTGCATTTGTACTCACCGCTTTTGCACAAGTAGCAAATAGCAATGTATTTCTTGATTGTTCAACATGGATACGAGCAGGACTCATAGTACAAATGATAGCTGTTCGACCATTCCCCCCTAGAGAATTCTGCAGAATACGTGTTAGCTTCGAATCTCTATAAGGTACGTGCCCGTTCCTTCCTTTGCTGCATTCCATTCATAAACAGAGAATACAGGATCATATGTTTTGTTTTTCTTTCTTATGAAGCAGAAATGAAAAACAAGAAACGAAATCATTCCATTTCTTCCATCAAATATGTGGATGAAAGAAAACCAAACCTTAGTTTGCGAATAACAGTTCCCAGAGCCAGCAAACTACGGTTGATATGGCAACCTTCTTTTAGTCTTGTCCCAGCAGACATTGTTTGAGAAGCCCGTTCACTTCCAGCAAGATCAACAAAGTTCTGTATAAAGAACAAAGAAAAAAAGTTTTTTTTTGTTTAGAAGAGGATTTCTCAATTAATTGAACTTCCAAGAACAGGTCCTTTTTTTTACCACTGTAGCCGTGAGACTGCTTGAAGTTCCAGACTTCTGGAATTTGCGAGCAGTGCTTTCAATTGTCTGCAGGAATGATATCATTTAAACGATCCTTAATGAGAAATTTAACCACAAGGTTTAAACATTGTTTTGATCCTCAAACTTCTGGGAAAGAATTTAACCCAAATTAGTAAATTAGTAAATTTCATGGCATACTTACTAGCCTTAGGATTTGATGTGATCTGGAGCTAGTTTCATTCAGAGATGTCTCCCCTATCTTTCTTTGAACTGCTTAAAATGCATCTCAGAGATAAATTCTCAGAGGTAAATTTATCAAAGGAAGAGTTAAATATTTTCACCTTGACAGAAGGAAAGAAGCTCCTGGAGATGGCCCCTGTCTTTCAATGTCTCCTCTATAAGTTTCTCAACAACAGTTCCTTTCTGCAACATTAAGGCTTACATGTCATTAAAATCTCTACTCATTGTTATAAATGAACAAAACAGAAAAATGAAAAGTTTATGCACCTCAGGATCATCAAGCAGTCTAAGTGGGACACTTTCAAAGCTAAGGAGATCTCTAACAGCTTCATTGTATATCTCAATCGCTGAAAACTTCAGCACGAATTCTCTATCTTGATGCTACGATCCATAAGTTATTGTCGAGTTAGACGTGTCATATAGCGTATTAAATTTCTATAGATTCGATGATAAAGCTTACCTTCTCAATGTAATCATAAATGTCTGCCACAGAATACTCGGTGACTCCATTCATGGTGTAAGTCTTTCCACTGCTTGTTTGCCCATATGCAAAAATTGTTGCTGAAAGTAGAGGCATTGTGATAATATGGTAGGCATATTCAGAAATGGAAACAGAGATAGTATTATTTACAGTTAATGCCGTTCACCACAGAAAGAGCTACTTCTTTGGCTCCTTCTTCATAAACTTGCTTTGTTGTACTGTCACACCCAAATACTCTATCTAATCCACCAGGTAGATGACAAAGAAGAACAAACAAACAAACAAAACGCAAAAGAGGAAAATCAGATCTAGAAAATTTAGAAATGATTATGGCTTGACTAAAACATGTTTTGGATTGATTTTGAATATGAACATGATTGTTAAAATTTCAAAATCACTCCAAAATAATCTAAATCGATCAAATGAACAAGATAATCGAAACATTTGTGTTTCTTACCGAATGTGTAAGTTTGGGGAAACATAGAGCGGTCCGGTAAAGTACTTCGGAATACGACGGAGTTATTGTTGATGCATTCCCAATCGGAGGAGTCGTTTTTGGCCGATTCCTTGTCGTTCAATGGCCTTAACCTAATGGAAACGCGGATCGTTTCTTCTAGGGTATTTGAATCGTGAACAATCCCCCGCATTGGCTCCTCGCCTCCCATATTGTTGCTCCGCGCTTTTCTTAATTCCAAAACCGATCGGCTCGCCTTCTAGGGTTCTCAAAGCCTCAAGAGAAGTCTCCTGTTCAAACGAACTCCTGGAGAAAACAAAAAGGAATCAAAAATTGAAGATGAGATTCACCAGACAGTTCGATTTCGAGCGGGAAAATCGTAAGGAAAAAGTGGCTTTCCGCCTTCTCGTCCTTTTCCAGAAGATGATCTGCAAAGGAAAAAAAAAACAGAGGAAAAAGAGGGGAAGGGGAAAACAAAAATGGCAAAACAACAACTAAGCTTTTCCCTCCATTCCATTCCCCGCTCTCTCTCTCTCCTCTCTCTCTCTCTCCTAACTTGGGATTGCAACTGACCGTTGAAAATAACTACCATCCCCAACTATATCAATGCTCTATTTACGTTTTTACCCTCCATCTCTATTTCTCAATGGCACGTGATGAAATCAAACCTTGTTCTAGGAAGAATGTCCGTTGGTCGGTCGTTTTTTCTTTCCTATAATGTAATTACAGGGTTGTATTTGACTTCGGTACGAGGAAACCATACCATTGTCTGTCTCCAACTAGGTCGTCCCGCAGCTGGCATTGACAACATTTTGGATAATGTTATCCTTCGAATGTGGTCTCAATTTTTTCATGTATCTCTCATCTACTCTGATGTAATTTAATAATTGTATTAAATTAAACACTAAACCTGCGTAAACCAATCAATTTAAACCATTCATTAGATTTAAACCATTCATTAGATTTTCATTTTAGAATTGTTAAAACTTTTTTAAATACATAATTGTCTGACATTCCATTCATGGAGCGCACACGAATTGTATTAGAAAAATACGATCAACCCAACCTAATCCGACCCATTTTGAATTTATTTAGATTTGGTTTGACGATTATTCTAAAAAAATATTCTAACCCGACTTAACCCTATAACCCACAAACATCTCCGATAATTACCAGTAATTACCGCACGAACATTCACCGTTGTTAAAATGGTGAAACCTCTTCCTATCCCTCACTATTATCTCTCTCTTCACCACTTTAGACATGAACTTGAATGCATTATGGCAATCCCCACAGATCCTGAGGTTCTTGAAAACCCTGACTGTGGCTCCTGGAGGGAGCTTCATTAGCCCAAACGCAACAGCGACCTTCTCACTGTGCGTAGACAAGGCATGTTCCTTTTGCTCACATTCCATATCATGCAACACATATTTAGTGTCTGGGACATATCCCAATTTCTTCATTTCAAGCCCCAGCTCCTCCAGGTAACGGTACACAGATACCACCTCAGGGTGCACATCATCATCGACCAAGAACACATGAACCTCGTTCTCGACCTCGATCCAACTACAAGCAGGCTCCTTCTGGACCCCTTTGTCCCTCATCAACTTCCGCACCTTAGCAACGTCGTTCCACCGACCGACATCGGCGTACATGTTCGACAAAAGTACATAGGTTCCGTCGTGTTGCGGCGTTAGTTCAAAAAGTTGCTCAGCCGCTTCTATTCCTAAATCCAGGTTGCTGTGAATCCGGCAACCAGCAAGAAGAGCCTCCCAAACTGGTGCACCAGGTTTAGAAGGCATAGTGTTGATGATATTCTTGGCATATGAGAACATCCCAGCTCGACAAAACAAATCGACCATTCGAGCATAATGATCTTCATCAGGACTGATGCCGTAATTTTCTAACATCAAAATAAAATAATGGCGTCCCTCCTCAACCAAACCAGCGTGACAACACGCAGTAAGAACAGTAAGAAAGGTTATTCTGTCAGGGAATACGCCATTTTTCGACATTTGATCAAAAAGTTCAATAGCTTTTGTACCATACCCGTGCTGTCCCAGTGCTGCAATCATGGCATTCCATGACACCAAGTCTACAAAAGGCATAGAGAGAAACACAGATTCCGCAGCCTCAAGAACTCCACATCTTGCATACATTGATATCAATGCATTGCCAACAGAAAGGTTTGAATTGTAGCCCAGATGAACAAGTTGAGCATGGAGCTGGCGACCATTCTCCAATGCTCCAAGCACAGAACATGCTGTAATTGCGCCTGTAAATGCATAATCACAAGGTTCAAAGCCATCCAATCTCATTTGCTTGAACAGCTTCAAACCCTCATCTCCAAATCCATTTTGTGCCAATCCTGAAATCATTACAGTCAGTGTAAGAAGGTTTTTCTCTGGCATTTCTTCGAAGAAAGACTTCGCTTCCTCGATACGCCCTGCATTCACATACCCTGATAAGATTGCATTCCAAGTAACAGTATTTCTAAGTGGCATCTGATGAAAAGCCTTCCGTGCCTCATCGACTTTATCGTTTTTACAATACAAAGTAATCAGTGCATTACTCACAGACAGCAAAAAGTTATGATTTGGGTTCAGCTCATTTTTTAGAATGTAAGCATGCACCTGTTTTCCCTGTTGAAAGAACCCACCATTGGCACAAGCACTGATTATGGTCGTGTAGGTGACCTCATCATGCTGAATTCCGAGAGAACGCATTTTCCTAAACATTATCAATGCTTCCAGAAAACAACCATGGTGTACATATCCCGATATCATGGCATTCCATGCTGCCCCAAGCTTTTCAGCCATTGAATCGAATACTTCCCGAGCGCCATTTAGATCATCGTTCCGTACGTACCCAGTAATCATCGTCGTCCATGTTAGCTCATCCCTCTTAGGCATTTCGTCGAACAGTTTCCTAGCAGAAACCATTCCTGAAGATGATATCGCCAATGGTGATGCACACTTGACATAAACAGACAGAAGAGCGTTCAACACTGAAGAAGAAACACACCCCATTCCAGACTTCACCACTGCACAATGCATCTGACCACACTGCTGCTCATTGTCAACAACAAGCACCAAAGCACTGAGAACGCTTGTAAATGTGAAGTCATCAGGCCGGAAGTCATCCCGTCTCATAGCACGGAACAGTTCAAGAGCTGAAAGACCATCATCGTTGTGCGAATAACCAATGATCATTGCATTGTAGAAAACAGTATCCCTCAAATGCAATGGAGTTCCATTAAATATCTCTCGACCCAGTTTCAGATTCCCCGAAGCAGAATACGCCGTAATCAAAGTAGTCCTTGCTATCGCATCTGGGCTGGGAATTTCGTCGAACAGTTGGCGTGCATACACAAGATTCGACGATTTGCAATACACTTCAAGCAGCCGGTTAAGGAAATGGCCACGAGGCTTGAACCCGGATGCAATCATATGGCCATGAACTGCCCGAGCAAGTGAAAATGAAGTCGGATCCTGTGGGGAACAGAGCTGCAATTTTGCGGCATACCGGTTTGCCACCATGCGGATGTCCAATGCATTTCTCATGAAGATTGATGAGAATTAGTGGCATCGTTTCGAATTAAACAGGGAAGTTGAAAGTATTGATGGAATGGCGATGAATCATGAAGAAGCTGGAAACGTGAGACGTTCCAAACAAGCCGGGTATTCTGTAATTGTCGTAAGCCATTTCGCAGCTACAACTCCTAAACATTAAATGAGCTTCATAGATTTTGCAATGTCAGAATCTTGTTTAACTTAACTATGATAATAGAATTTGAAGGTGTGAGTCTTTGTTAGAAGGTTTTTGAGAATGAGTCGAGCCTCGATTTAAGACAGACTATTCGAGGGTTCTAATAGGCCTTAGGGGCGAAGATCTATATTGTTCTTTGTTCGGATTGTTGGAAAGGGAAAGATTGTTAAAGATTATTGACAAGAATCTTAGTTGGCTAATTTATAAGTAAAGAATACATTAAGTCCAAACCAAAACCATTAGAGCTTATGCTGAAGGTGGACAATATCATATGATTGTAGAGAGTCGTAACCATCAGAGTTTATGTTCAAAGTGGATAATATCATATCATTGCAGAGAGTCGTCGTTCCTACAAACAAGAAGCTCTCAGCTATTAATTTTGAGCAAACCAACCAGACTACAATGAACTGCTAAATTGACACGATTAACATAATTTGATAATTTGATTGTTTATAAAAATCTAATTAAATTTAATCCATTAATATAATAATATCTTCTACCTAATATGTTTTAAAACTTTTAGATTATCTCTAATATATAGATTATTATTTGTAATATACGAGTTAAAGCTGATAATATTTGTTAGCTACGATTTTTTACTATTACAAATAGTATCAGAGTTACACATGTGACGGTGAACACTGGAAATTGTGAGATCTTCATTCTCGAGGAAGAAGAAGAACCCATTATATTACAGCTGAACCATTTTTGGTTTTTTAAAAACTAACAGAAACCAGAAGAAGAAGAATGTACCCATTAAAGAACAGGTGAAACCTAAACAAAATGTAAAAGAAACCCATTAAATTACAGAAGAAACTTGAAACAAAAAGTAGAACCCAGAAGAAGAAGAAGAAGAAGAAGAAGAAGAAACCAGATCAGAGAGCGAAGAGGAGAGAAGAAAATGGCAATAAGGAATGGAAGTGTTGTTGGTTAATTATGAAAAAGGTCTGGACCCCTTAAACCCTGCAGATGGGGTTGTACTAATAATCTGTGGCACAGTGAAACCATCGTCTGTCCACACTCTATTCACTTTTGATGAATTCACTACCAATGCCTTCGTGTCCTTCAACCCAAACAGCGCCGCTGGTGGCCCCTGAGGGACCCAAGGCTCCAAGCCTTCCCATGATGACAATGGAAACCCCACCCCTTCAAACTGCCAAAAGAGAAGACACAAGAACGGTTAGAAAACACAACTATCCGCACTGATATGATATTGTCCACTTTAAATATAAGTTCTCATGGTTTTGTTTTTCGAGTTTTCCCCTGTAGAGAGTATTATTTGATTATAAACCCATAATCATTCCCTAAATTAACGACTTTCATAATCAAACATTCCTCAACTCAACTTTTTCGTCAGCTTCACACAGAAACAGTGACAGAGTTGTTAAACATACCTCAAGAAACTCTTCAAATGGCCACCCAGGAAGCGTCTCCATCAAATATTCCGATATGCTACTAGCTGATCCACCGCCCTCAGTCGCAATCTGACCTCCGCCGCCCTCATTCACGGCTGTCGTCGGAGTTAAGTTCGTTGGGGCATTTACACAAACACTTGTTGTGCATACCGTTGGAGCACTAGAAACAGCAGCCGCCTTCTTGACAGAGCCCTTTAACTTCGATTTAGAAACAACACAACCACCACTCCCGATCAGTTTCTCCCCGGAGGGAGGCGGTTCGTACAGAGTAGCGGTGGCGGAAAGCTTAATCCCAATCTGAAGAAACCTATCGTGCTTCATAGTGAGTTCGTTGGCCGAATGAATTGGATCATCGCATTCTCTACACAGAATCGCTCTATCCTGCTGACAGAACAAGAACCCTCGCCGCTCCTACAAAATCAAATTCAAAAAATAAACAAAAACAGAGTAAAACCCAAATCCCAACAAAAACCAATCAGATCTCAGCAAAATACCCGGCACACATCGCAGACGGGGGCCTCCGCCGCATCAGAGCGGAGCAGAGAAAAGCGGCGGTGCTTCGAAGCGAGCTTATTAGCATTGTGGACACGGTGATCGCATAAATTACAGAGCGCCGCCTCGTCCGCCGTGCAGAACACCACCGCTTCCGCATTTTCACAGACATCACACAGAATCTTCATGTATTTCTGATTAAGAACAACAAAAGAAGAAGAAAACGCTTGGCCAGAGCAATCAGGGAAGAACTCGTGAGAAAAATGGAGAATCAATAATTACACAATATAATAAGAATGGCGGTACATCCATGAGGATCCTCCACAGTGAAGAAATTAGATCTTTGGCATTAAAAAAATAAGAGATTTAAGAAATGATTAGAACAGCAAACCCACTTTCTTACAGTAAAAGCAAAAGAATCATTTTCAGATGTTCATCCTTCGAACTCCGAAGCGTCACCAAAAGTTATAATGGAAGCCACTGTTCAATTTTTCTAGTTTTGTATGTACTTATGTGGAGGGTAAAGTTGTAATTTCAGGGTATGACTTTTGAAACAAAAACTATACCCACCTTGGCTTACGTCAAAATTCATATCCATTATGCCCTCCTTCACAAACCTAATTTAACAAAATTATATTCCGACCAAAAAATATATTTACATTCAAATTTATGTTCATTTTAATAATGGATAATAGCTCAATTAGTTAAGACATATATTTTCGATCAAAAAGTTAAAGGTTTGAATCTCTATTTATACACGGCATTGATATGTCATAAACAATAAAGAACGACCTCTACGATATCAGTTACACGCGCCTCTTTTGATGATATATGATGGAATTGTTAATTTAAAACCATATTTTAAGGATGATGGACCTAGTTATTTCAATAATTAAAAAAGTAAAAAAAAAAAAAAAAGTAAAAAAGGGACATCAAAATGCTTGAAATAAGGCCGTACTTAGAGCTTGGGGGCCAGCTGTCCAGAGATTATGAAATTAATTTTGATTAATGCCCTTAATAAGCATCTCACTCATTAATTAATTGCCTTTTTCCCAACCCCACATTTATTCATTTCAATAATATTTATTAATCCATTATATTTATATCAAATGAAATAATAGAAAAAATAAATTTTGTATTTTTATTACGGATATAATTATATATACATATTTGTATTCAATTTTATAATTATTTTTCTATTATTTATTCTGTAACTACCTTTTGAAATAATTTTTTTTTTATTGAGTTATATGTATTAATTAAATGTTTAAAAATAAATAAATAAATATTTTAAAAACTAAAATTTTACCTAGGTTAAAAACAAAATCCAAAAAATATATGGTTTGGTTATTTATTTTTATAAAATTGTTTAGCTATATAATTACAACTTAAGCCCCTATTGAAGCTTTGAATTGGGCCGACTCAAGAGTCTACAAATGGGCTTTCAAATTCATCCGGCCCTGATGTAATGCTATAATGGATTTAAACTTAGATATTTCTTTTTATTCCAACTCACTCAGCCCAATGGGCTTCGTGGGCTTACTGGGCTGAAAACACCATATGGGCTTAGCAAGCCCAAGAGTATTTAAAAAAAAAAAAAAAACAAGAAAAATCTAGAACCAAACAAAAGACAGTAAAGAATAAATACATAAATAAAGGAAAAACTTTTTCCTTAATTTTTTCAAATAAATAATAAAAAATTCAGAGAGACCACCAGACAATCCAAAAATGGTTGGCTTTTTTTTACCACTTTTACCTACGAGAGTTTTCAAGTAGCTTTGACCTAAAGTCAGAGGTCCCTTTTCTTTCTGTCTGTTCATTGCCAACACAGCACACCCCTTCCCATCCTTAAAATCCTTTTTTATTTAATTATTTAATTATTTAATTATTTATTATTATTATTATTTAAAAAATTCCCTTTTTCATCCCTAAAAATGTACTGCCTTAAACCTTGGGGGAAAGAGGCACAGTCAACTGAGACAAAAGAAAGCACAAGGCTCGAGATATGTAAGAAAAAGATGCAATTATTGGAATTCCCCATTTCTCTCTCTCGTCTTTACATAATTTAATTTCCCTTTTCTGTCGGCATAATTACTAATTATCTCTTTACATTAAATAAATCGAAATTTTGGGGAAACATTATCCTGTCTCAAATATGGCAAAACATATTACTTTCGTTAAATTTGAGGTCTCTCTCTCTCTCTCTCTCTGTCTCTCTCTCTCTGTCTCTCTCCAGGATTTCATATTTATTATTATTATTATCCAGAAATTAAATTCGGACAATTATTACTTAAGTCATGCTTACGTCGTATTAAAACCCTTTTTTGGATATGGGGGCCCAAAGAAACAAGTGGGCCGAATGATGGGCCTTGGATGTGGCCCAGAACAAAACACCTTTCAAGCGTTGAACTCTTTGTAGCAGACAGGTCCATTGTTGGTTTGTCTCCATCTTCATGGGTCAACCATCTCTGGCGCGGCAAAATTAAGGTTGTCTTTTGTCCTATTATTATTTTTAAAACCCTTTGTTGTTTTATTTTTTTCCCCTTTTGTAGCTTTTTTTTTTCTCTATTTAAATGTTTATTTATTTATTTTTTTCTTTGATGGGACAATTAAGAAGAAGAAAACATTTGAACCGAGAAACAAAACCTTTTAGCGAATAACCTCTCATTCCAATTCTGAGATTCCTTTTCGTTAAATGAAGGAGTTTTCTTCGGTCGAAGAATCGTTTTAAATTTTTATTTGATATGACATTAGTTTTCTAAGACGTCATATCAATAGATTTTGGTCCGATAAATCAAAATATACTATTTTTTAAAGGGTGAAGCATATTTAATATTAATTTATGTGATACCCATTGCTTATATCCTTAATTTTAATATATATTTAAAAGGGTATGAAAAATCTTTCCCTAGACGCGTTTTAAAAACGGTGAGTCTGAGAGCGACACGTAATAGACAAAAGTGAACGATATCAACATTATTTTTGAAATTTTGTTATAGAGTTAATAGATAATATGAATATCTTAAAAGAAAATAAAAGAAGAAAACATAGACGTCATCAAAAAAAAGTGTGGAATGATTTTACTAAACACAAAAATGGGATGTGTTTAGTTTGGGGAAACTGGGCACATGGTCAGCTACCAGTTAGCTGCTTAAAAGTTGAGACCAAACCAGAAAACAAATAATAAAAATAAAAAATAAAAAACAAAAAGACAAAAAAGAAAAAGAAAATAATAATTAAAAGAAAAAAACTTAAAATCAATCACAATTCACGACAGAGTTTTTTTTTTAAAAAAAGAAAAAAAAAAGGGGAATTTATTTTGTGAGATTAGATCAAATCAGATGGTGGGAAAGTCAATGTGAAATTTGCCTCGGGCCCCTAATTATTCTTCCACTTATTTTTTTTTTTCCTCTCTCTTTATTAAGCTTAAACAAATGCCACGTCAAAGGTCAAGGACGGCGATGTACGGCGGACTACGGCGGCCGGCGGGTGGCCATCTTTAGTGATCATTAATTTCTATATTTATATTATTATAATAAAAACCCAATTATTAGTGGACAGTGTCCACTAAGTTTTAGCGCGGGTCACGTGATCGTTTGCTTAAAAGGGCTTTTAAGTCTCTTAATTAAGCTTCTCTACCCTTTCTTTTCCCCCCCTATTTCTACGTAATTAAAATCATTATTTCTATTTCTTTTTTTTTTTTAATTCTTTTCTCCAATAATTCAACACCATGAATTACAACAATAATTTTACTTTTGTTATGTAATCATTAATTTTTAAACGCCTTACCAATCAAATAATAAACAAAAAAACGGTCATAAAAATAAAAAATGGATAGAAATATGAAAATTTTGATACCATAATTTAAATTATAAAATTAGCAGCAATCTCGAAAAAACTAATGTTATAATTTTTGTAAATAGGCAAGAAAAAAACAAAATAAATATCATAAACTGTAAAAGGTTTATTTGTCTGAAAATAATTAGTAATAATTACAAAAAAAAAATATATATATTATATAAAAAATTGATGGATAGCCACTCGAGATGTTTCTTGACATAGATGAGTAGTAAATAATGTTATATAGTCATAGAGGCACTCTACGTAGCTAATCTTTTTCGTCCCGAAATAATAAGGCGGCCTTGCTTGGTTATTCTTTTAATTACATATTTTTTAATTTACAATTTATTTCGATAAATTAAATAAATAAATAACACTTGAAGACTATTTTCTTAGTAATTAAAGTTTAATTGGGAATTGGAAAATGTTGATAAAAAGCATATTAAAGAAATGTTGTTGACCTTGGGAAAATAGAGAGATTTGGATTAAATAAATAATAAAATGAAAGACATAACACGAAAGTTAAGGTCAAATGATAAGTTGATTACGACACAATTTGATGTATTTAATGACAAAAGCGTATGTCTGAAATCTGGATGACGACAACAAATTCTCACAGCTCTGGCTATGGATTGGATTGTGTCATTTTGTTAAAAATAATAATAATATATAAATAATAATACAAGAATTATTAATATATTAATATTAAATAAGAGTTTAATATTTACAATAGTAATAATAACACATGTCAGGTTCAGAGGGTCCTGTCATGGAGATTTCCGGGATTTGCATGTGACACTAACATTCCTTCCTCTGTAGAGTAGATTGATTGCTGTGAGGATTATGAAACTAAAAATAAAGAAAAATTTTAATTAATTAAAATAATTTTAATAATTATAATAATAGAAGGGAGGGGGAAAAAGGTGCCTGCGGGTTTTACGGTGGAAGGACGAATAAGAAAAGGTAGAGTTCTGACACGTGGGCAGCTGGCAACCATTGGATCTGTCATGCAAACTACTGAGATTTTTACTCGATATTCATTGAAACTGAAAGACAGACAACAGTAGAGGAAGTGCCCACTCATAGATCTTCATGTTCCTTCTCTCTCTTCGTGTTACTCTGTGGCGTTCGTATCGTAATTATGGTGTGAGCGAGAAGAGAGGGTGGAAAAATGGAGGGTTTTTTAGAGAGAGAATTGTTTGTCTGGTTATCTTAAATGAGGGTTTTTTTTTTAGGCGAGGAGAGAGAAAACAGTGCAGTTGCCATGGCGGCGTTGCAGGGCTCTAATTCCGTGCCATAATTGCATCGATACAAAGAAAGAAAGAGAAAGAAACAGAATTTAAATCCCAAACTAAAGTATTCTTATTTTTTCAAGTTAAAAAACAAAACAAAATAGAGAAAATACATGGAATATTAAAAAAAAAAAAAAAAAAAAAAA